AGTTTTGTATTGTAATGTCTTTGTGAAACCAACACAAAGACATTACAATACAAAACTCTTGTAGAGTTATAGATAACAAATAATCGAGGACATGAAACCAACATGTCCTCGATTATTTGTTATCTATAACTCTACAAGTTTCTAGGTTTACCACTTTACTGCCTATTTTCGATCATTTTCCGTATTGACGAACCTCGCGGCTGTACTAATGGGATATAAAAATTGTAGATTATAAGAAAAATCAATACACAAACAAACTGTTCTTTACAGTGCTGTCAATTCATCTTGTAATTACTTCGTAACGGGAAAACTATCTTAAACATTTTAAGTTAAAAGTAGATTTTTCTATTGAACATTTCGGTTTATTCAATAGGGAAGACGTCAGTAGCTTACGCTACAAACCCTGTAATGCGAGCTCCTGTTTAACCGCTTACAAACGAACCAACACTCAAACTACCAACTATTTTCAGTTTTATAAATGTTTTTCTTTCTGTTGTTGTGATCAACATTATCTGTGTTGTGTGAAATGATCTAATCCCGAATTTTCGTGTTATAAGTCCTCAGTCTTACCGCTGACTCACTTACGGAGGGGAGCTTTTCTGTTAGTATTGATTTTTTTGAGATTCTGATAAATCTGTAACATCACTGTTAACATATTTTATAGATATTCATAAAATGTCTATTATTTTCTTCATTTATTCTTATTTCTGTGCTTAAACTAATGAAAAAACCGCGAAAACTACATTTTTTCGTAAAATGGTATCTAAGTTTTTACCTTAAAACGCTTTACCGATAAAACTCTGAATCCTGACTTGTAATGATATCGAGTTCATTCATTAATTTTGAACATTATTCAAAGATTTGGATAAATACAGCGTAGTGTTGTCGATTTTTTTTTTAAATCAGAAAGTTACTAGATTGTCAAAGATCCTCAATAGGTAAATGATGAACATTTTAAAGACACAAACAAATGTAAAGGACATTGCTTCGTGCCGAAATCTTTTGTGGTGGATACAGTTTTATTTGTTTTGAATTTCTCGCAAAGCTACACGAGGGCTATCTAAGCTAGCCGTCCCTAATTTAACAGTGGTATACTAGAAGGAAGGCAGCTATTCAACACCACTCACCGAGAGCTTTTGGGCTACTCTTTTACCAGTGAATAGTGAGATTGACCGTTACATTACAACGCCCCCACGGCTTGAAAGGTGAGCACGTTCGGTGACTGGGTTTCAAACCCGCGACCTTTAGATTGCGAGTTGAGCACCTTAACTGTATGTTTTCGAGTTTATCATAAATATCTTAAGAAACGCAACGGGAATTGTATTAACTAACAAAAAAAGCAAAGGAAAAACAAAGTTTCGACTTGTTATAGTGTATAAGAATTGTTAATGTTCATTAAAATGTCTCAAAAGGCCTTGCATTGACGATATATGTTATACCTATCGTAACGATCATATAGCATAGAAATAAATGTGGCTTCTTGGATACATTGATATAATTTAAATTGTGTTCATTTTCATCAGTAACTATTTTGTACTTCACATGCTTTTGTACATGGAACTGAAAGCTTACGAATCAAATAATACATAACGTTTCGTTTTTTGATGATACTATAATATTTTGAACAGTTAGTAAAATGATATACTAATGATTGCTTATACAAAATGATTAAGAAACTGTTGATGTTAAAGAAAATAAGTAAAACACATATCCAAGTCAATTTATTTTTAATACGCATATAACGTTTTATTTCAGGCAACGGAAACTGTACACCGTCCCAACATGATTAAAAACATTGTATAAATTAGGTAAAAATAAATTAAGAAACAAACGTATTGTGATACAATAAATAATTTTTAAATATTCATTAATAGTTAATTAAATATGCTTGAGTTAACAAGCAACATCCGCGTTTCTGATCGTGAAATACTCCAATGACAACAGCGACCTACACAACGAGACCAACATAACTATAGAGGATGATAATAAGTGTGTATTTCATTTCAGAACTATAGTGCCATGTAACGGGTATGATAAATAACACATGGGGGAAATAACGTATATCTATTTCCAAATCTTGCCATATGGGACGATACCAATACTTAATTTGCATTTTCTTCAAAAATACCATGAGAAGCAAATAGTGAAGCCTTTACTATACAGATGGCTACAACGCAGAGGCAAATAGTGAAGCCTTTACTATACAGATGGCTACAACGCAGAGGCAAATAATCTGAAATACCTTAAACTGATTAAAAAATTGGAGGAAATTGGATGAACGTGCAAAAAACAACAACAACAAACAACTACGCTGAACAGGAGGGATATTTGGTCACACACTCCACTAATATTATGCGTGCTTTACAGGAAAGTACTTCTTCTCCTTCCCCCACAGTAATTTTTTTAAAAGCAATGCTCAAATCACATGCCTATTATTTTAACATATCTTTTGTTGCAATTTATTTGTTTTATTCTAAGAAATACAAATAATAAATTAACTTTTTTGTTATTTTTACTTGATTAGCGTTCTAGAAAGGTATAATACTTTCTACGAGCTTTTATTTCATGGGGAACTGCAGTAGCAAAAAATATATATATATATATGTATTTGTTTGGAACAGCGCAAGGCCCCAAGCAGTCGCTCGCTTTGCTCATGCGTAGAGCTAGCACTTCTCGCAGACCCCTAAGTAAATAGTTGCCCATACAACAATTCCTTGCGCGAACAGCGAACATACTTTTATACACAAGTGCCAAAATACTATAATTATGTGTCTAGAAACGGGACCCACGGCAATACCAGTTTAACGTTAAATATTAGTTATGATTTTAACTTTATACACAAGTGCCAAAATAATATAATTATACTTTGGACTGTTGTAGTCCATTCGTCTTGATGGGGGTGTCAACATACGGAGCTGAATGAGTTCTTAATGATGAAAATTCCCTGGTGTGAATTCACGACAGTTTTTATTCTTCGAGGAACCAACACCCTAAGGACCGCGCAAGAACGTCAACGGCTTTATCAGCTGTTTGATCACATGATACCCTAGCTGTAGCAACAACACGTGCTCGCCTGAAAACTGTTACAGTCATACTTTGATGAAAACGGGGTCATCTCCCGCTACTTCTTATCTGCAGATTTCTGGTTTTACTGTAATATGAAGTCGCATGTCTGTCTGGTGGACCCGTGCACCATTCCTGATTTGAAACATGGTAATTAAAGAGAGATAAGCTATATACTGGAAAAAAAAAACGTGGCTGGTTACAGGTATGTAATGCACTGCAGGTGTAGCAGGTACGCATATTGAACATTCAGCGTGATCTCAGTGTAAATTATACATTGGAAGCGCCCCCTATGGCAAGGTTTGTTAAGTACTACAATTGGTAGCCCCTGTGTGACTTGACATGTCTAATAAATGCATGACACCAACATTTCATGTAGACAGTAACTTTATTTGTATAAGGTTAAAAAGAAACAAACGGAAATATACTGGATTATGTAGTCCATCGAAACATGTAGAGCGTTGGTATCGTGATTTTTTAGTTTTATACACATCAGTCTCATGTATTGACACGTCTATTTGATGGCATACCTTATAGTTTAGACACTACAGTGCTAGGAAGTGAAATACTTACTTTATGATCACCCTGTTTTTCACCTGATCATGAAAATAAATAAATATGTACAAAATAAATATAAATACAAGAAGCAGCGCAGGATATATTAATTTTCCCACACTCCACCATCTTCAGGTTCTGGAATTTCATTTTCTTAGACCTTCATGTAAGATTCTGCAAAGTAAAATAAAAAAAAATAGTATATAAATTTTTTCACGATATTTTTTCTCTTTTAATAGTATACTTTTTTTTTAAATATTTGGACAGCATAGAAAAACCTAAGGTTCTAAGTATTTATGGCTCAGTGTTGATTCTTACACGGAACCACTTTTCGAGCTCTACAATATCCCGTCTTTTTGGTTTGTTTTTGAATTTCGCGTAAAGCTACACGAGGGCTATCTGCGCTAGCCGTCCCTAATTTA